TTATGGAGTTGAGCCCCACCCAAGAGACTTCAGTCAAGAGCTGACAGAGAAGAAGTCCTTGTCCTCACTGATGTAGTCATTTGCTTTAACATCCGGCTCTGGTTAAATCCAGTGAATCACAAACTAAAAACATAACAAAGAGAGATGAAATGAAATAGGAACTTGGTGGGAGGGGGGGAAATTGGTGGGACTGGAAAGAAGATAAAAGGAAGTAGAGAGATGAATGTGACTAGAATGTATGACTTACTTGTATGAAATTGTCAGAGTAGATTAATCAGAAATAAAATAAAATGAATGGCAGCATTTTGCTTATAGTGATAATAAATGAGTTAGCAATATTTTTGGAAACTGGTGCAGGAACAAAATGAAGAGATATTACTTTTCATTCTATATGGTTTGACCTCATCTCTATTGTCATCACAGTACTCTATATATCTTCTAAAATATCTGCCAAGTTCTCCAAGTCTGTGTTTCAAACCTCCTCTACATTAAAGTCCTATATTACACTAGTATGTGAATACATTAATAGCCTCGGTTTATGAAGGGAGAATGGATGGTACTGACTTACTCGTTACTGGAAAGACATTCAGCATTCCCAGTTCCACTGTCTCAGTCCCACTCTTAGAATCTATATCTGCAATTGCCACTGCTAAGTCTTCCTGACATTCAGTGTATCAGTTTTGTTGCATCACTCTAAACAAAATATCTGGCATCCTCTCTTAAGGGAGGGAAGATGCATTCTGGTTCACCTGTAATTTGTATCAATTCAGCTTGGTGGAAAGGGCATGACAGAGCAGAGAAATTCAGAGAGCAGAGATTGGAATATACAGAAAGGCTAAGACCAGAGATAATCCCCAAGGGCATGCCCCACATGATCACGTTAGAGCCCTCATGAGCTAATTATTTCAGAAAATGCCCACAGGGACATCCAGAGTTATGGTTTGCTGATATCCTAGATGCTTCTTAATCCAATCTTCTTGGTAAATGTGATTAGTAATTTCACTCCACAGCTTGAGTTTTGCAAGATACCCACAACTCCTACACTCATAATATTTATATTTCAGTTTATTTTCTAAGTAAAGTTCTGATGACTTATTACTTTCCTTTCAACAATGTTATTATTACCTCTATATGTTTGTTTTGTATTCTTCTTGAATCTGTATATTTAAATAGTTGTATACATAAATATTTTTATTTAATTATATTTCCATAAATAGTTAAGAACTATTAGAAATAAATATTCCTCTTTCATTACTTGAATATTTCAAGACAAAGCACTTATTTGGATTTTATTTTCTGGGCTAGATCCATAAGATTTGCATTTCAACATTGGTATTCAGTTTCCTACATAGACTGTGGCATTAATACACAGCCAAAGTCCTCTGATGATAAAGACTGTGTTTGTTGTTTATCATTTCTACTGACTGTGTTCTTAGATAATTTGGTTAAAGAAGAGTTCTGGGATTGCAACAGAACAGGCTGAAGACAGTGCACAGCATTCTCTGACTCATTCTGCAGATATTGATGTAAAATGAGTTGTTGAATGTTGTAATCTCCACTGTACAGCCACTATTGATCTTTCTCAGTGAGTCAATATGTTCTTACTTTATGCTCAAGTAACTTAGACAATTGAGGAAGACCACAGCTTTCACAGCTAAATTCTATACTTTTTTCTGCTAACTGTGCTCAGAAAAGCAATGCTTAAATTCTACTCTCTGTTCATTGAACTGCCAACACAAAATAACAGAATATTTTTTTTGCAAGAATCATGTGACACAGTTAAGATTTGATTTTCTGTGCTCTTCCTTAACTCTGGTATGTAGGTAGCAATAGAAAGCTTGTTAATAATGGAACTCTTAAGATAACACTCCTAAGTCAGGTGATTCCACTATCCTGGCTCTGCCATCTACTACCATCCAGTAGAGAGAAAGCTCTTAATTTCTCTAGCTTTAATTTTACCATTTTTAATATGTGAATTATAAGGGCTTGAGAGATGGCCGACGAAAGGTTAAGAGAACTCCCTGGGTTGTTGTTGTTTGTTTGTTTGTTTTTTAGCAGACCCAAGTGGAATACAGACTCGTAACTCCAACTTTCTGCTATCTAATACATTTTTCTGCCCTCTCCATATGCATAAATAAAAGTGAATCTTAAAAACATTTGGAAATATGAATGATAATAATATTCTTACCAGAGTGAGGCTGAGGATTTATATAATATCAGTAATATTGCAAACTAGGATGCCACCAGATTTCTTTCCTGTGGCCTTGACTATACTTCTGTCTTAGTTTACTTTCTATTGTTATGATAAAACACCATAAAAAAAAGAAAGAACTTGAGGAGGAAAGGGTTTGTTTGGCTAACAGGTTGCAGCCCACCATTATGAAGCGGAGGAAGGTACCACAGAGGAGTGCTGCTTCTTGCATTTCTCTCAATAGCTTGCTCAGCCTGCTTTTCTATGAGATCCAGGACCACATGCCTTGCACATCTCTTAGTGGGCTGGACTTCTCACATAATCGTTAATCAAGAAAAGGCCCCTCAGTTTTACTTTAGAGGCTAGTCTCATAGAGGCAGTTCCTCGATTGATTTTTCCTCTTCCTAGATGATTTTACCCTGTATTAAGTAAACTAAAACAAACAAAACAACTAACCAACACATCATCTAAACATGAATCAATTTTCTGTGGATAAAAGTTAGACCTCAGATGTCTGAATACTGTGCACTGAATAACCAAGGAAACAACCACATCAAAATGCATAGCAGAAGCTTAGAAATATTTATGTCCAACTCCACCAGTCTTAGTTATCTCTCAATAGCTATGACAAATCACCATGACCAGGGCAATTTATAAAAGAAAGCATTCAATTTAGGGATTACAGTTCCAAAGGGTTAGAGTTCAGGACCATCACGGCAGGAAGCATGAAAGCAAATAGGCAGCATGATGCTAGAGTAATAAACGAGAGTTACATCTGGATCCACTAGCACTAGGCAGAGAGAGCTATCTAGGAAGGGCATGGGCTTTTGAAACCTCAAAGTCTACCTACAGTGACACATCTCCTTCAACAAAGTCATATCTCCTAATCCTTCCCAAACTATTTCACAAACTGGGGACCAAGCATTCAAACATGAAACTGTGGGGAACATTCTCATTCAAACCACCTTGACACTAAAGATATAGAACAACTTCTATATTCTTCCTGAGGATAAAAGTGTTTGTACCACATATTCAATAAACTATCTTCTGTAGCTCTGAAATCACTGAGCCGTTGGGATGAAAGAAAGTTAACATTTGGGCATTTCCTTGATCTCAAACAAAAATGAGGTAGATTTGAATGGCTATAACAGTATTCTAATAACAGTTGTTCTCACAGTCAATATAGGGAGAACTAATTATCTTTACAATGTACACTTTTCTCTCTGAAAAATCATTTATATGTTTTCCCTGCTGGTGTATAAGGATTGGGCTACTAGTAAGTCTACATCTGGCAACCGATGAGGTGGGTAAATATTAGACCTGATTGTGATCCTGAATGTTTGTGTAGATTATACCAAGTGTTCTGGTGTTTAGCATGATATATAGGGCTTCATGTTTTCCATGAATGGGTTTATATATGTGTCCCAGCATTAGCAGCTCTGACCTAGAGATTTTCTCATATATCATTGAGACCCTAAAAGGTGATGCAAGTTTTTATTCACCAGTCTCTATAGACTATAGAAATAAGTTTCTTAAATGCATATTTTTCAACAATTTACTTCCAAGTTGCACAGTATTGGAGGAGGCTGTGGTCAGAATCAGAATGAATCAGAATTCAGGCATTGGTTAAAGATCCTTTCCTTATTTAGGTTGTTTCCAGGTTCTGGCTATTACAAACAATGCTGATATGAACATAGCTGAGCAAGTGCCCTTGTGGTATGATTGAGCATTCCTTGGGTGTATGCCTAAGAGTGGTATAGCTGGATCTTGGGGGAGATGGATTCCCAATTTTCTAAGAAAGCGCCATATTGATTTCCAAAGTGGTTGTACAAGCTTGCATTCCCACCAACAGTGGAGGAGAGTTCCCCTAGCTCCACATCCTCTCCAGCATAAGGTGTCTTCAGTGTTTTTGATCTTAGGCATCCTGACAGGCATAAGGTGGTATCTCAGAGTTGTTTTGATTTGCATTTCCCTGATGATTAGGGATGTTGAGCAATTCCTTAAATGTCTTTCAGCCATTTGAGTTTCCTCTGTTGAGAATTCTCTGTTTAGTTCTACAGCCCATTTCTTAATTGGACTGTTGGGCATTTTGATGTCTAATTTCTTGAGTTCCTTATATATTCTGGATATCAGTCCTCTGTCAGATGTGGGGTTGGTGAAGACCTTTTCCCATTGTGTAGGCTGTTGCTTTGCCTTGTTGACCATATCCTTTGCTCTACAAAAGCTTCTCAGTTTCAAGAGGTTCCATTGATTGATTGTTTCTCTCAGTGTCTGTGCTACTGGTGTTATATTTAGGAAATGATCTCCTATGCCAATGCGTTCAAGACTACTTCCTACTTTCTCTTCTAGCAGGTTCAGAGTAGCTGGATTTATGGTGAGGTCCTTGATCCACTTGGACTTAAGTTTTGTGCACGGTGATAGATATGGATCTATTTGCAGCCTTCTACATGTTGATATCCAGTTACGCCAGCACCATCTTCAACCACTTGTTGAAGATGCTTTCTTTTTTCCATTGTACACTTTTGGCTTCTTTGTCAAAAATTATATGTTCATAGGTGTGCGGATTAATGTCAGGGTCTTTAATTCGATTCCATTCGTCCACATGTCGGTTTTTATGCCAGTACCAAGCTGTTTTTATTACTGTAGCTCCATAGTAGAGCTTGAAGTCAGGGATTGTGATGCCCCCAGAGGTTGTTTTATTGTACAGGATTCTTTTGGCTATCCTGTTTTTTTTTTTTTTTTTTCCATATGAAGTTGAGTATTATTCTTTCCAGGTCTGTGAAGAATTGTGTTGGTATTTTGATGGGGATTGCTTTTGGTAAAATTGCCATTTTTACTATGTTAGTCCTGCCTATCCATGAGCATGGGAGATCTTTCCATTTTCTGACATCTTCTTCAATTTCTTTTTTGAGGGATTTAAAGTTCTTGTCATATAGGTCCTTCACTTGCTTGGTTAGTGTTACCTCAGGGTATTTTATGTCATTTGTGGCTATTGTAAATGGCGATATATCTCTGATTTCCTTCTCAGCCTATTTGTCAATTGTATATAGGAGGGCTACTGATTTTTTTGAGTTGATCTTTTATCCTGCTATGTTGCTGAAGGTGTTTATAAGCTGTATCAGTTCCTTGGTTGAATCTTTGGGGTCACTCAAGTATACTATCATGTCATCTGCCCTTCAACTGAAGAATGGATAAATAAAATGGGGTACATATACACAATGGAATACTATTTAGCAGAGAAAAACAATGACATCATGAGGTTTTCAGGCAAATGGATGGATCTAGAAAAAATCATCGTGAGTGAGGTAACCCAGACTCAGAAAGACAAATATGGTATGTACTCACTTATAGGAGGATACTAGATGTGGAACAAGGATGACTGGACTGCTACTCACATCACCAGGGAGACTACCTGGAAAACAGGAACCCAATAAAGACACGGGGATCCCTCAATGACTGAGAAATGGATGAGATCTACACAAAGAGCCTGGACATGAGTGGAGGTAATGATGGGTGAGGGTCGAGGGAAAGAGAGCTTGGGGGAGTGGGAGATCCCAGCTGGATCAAGAACAGAGAGGGAGAACAAGGAATAGGAGACCATGGTAAATGAAGACCACATGAGAATAGGAAGAAGCAAAGTGCTAGAGAGGCCCACAGAAATCCACAAAGATACCCCCACAACAGACTGCTGACAATGGTCGAGAGACAGCCCGAACTGACCTACTCTGGTGATGGGATGGCCAAACACCTTAATTGTCGTGCTAGAAACCCCATCCAATGACTGAGGGATCTGGATGCAGAGATCTACGGCTAGGCCCTGGGTGGAGCTCTGGGAGTCCAATTAGCAAGAAAGAGGAGGGTTTATATGAGTGAGAATTGTTGAGATCAAGGTTGGATAAAGCACAGGGACAAATAGCCAAACGAATGGAAACACATGAACTATGAACCAATGGCTGAGGGGTCACCAACTGGATCAGGCCCTCTGAATGGGTGAGACAGTTGATTGGCTTGATCTGTTTGGGAGGCATCCAGGCAGTGGGACTGGGTCCTGTGCTCATTGCATGAGTTGGCTGTTTGAAACCTGGGGCTTATGCAGGGATGCTTGGCTGGGCCTGGGAGGAGGGGACTGGACCTGCCTGGACTGAGTCTACCAGGTTGATCTCAGTTCTCAGGGGAGGCTTTGCCCTGGAGGAGGTGGGACTGGGGGGTGGGCTGGGGGGAAGGGGAGGGGACGGGACGGGGGAGAACAAGGGAATCTGTGGCTGATATGTAGAACTGAATTGTATTGCAAAATAAAATAACAAAAAAAAAAATCCTTTCCTTATTTAGTTCAAAACGAAAGGGAAATACACTGTACTCTTCACCTTTTTATGTGAATATAGAAAGAAATGTGTGTACACTTAATACACCAATTTTTCCAGATGCATTTGTAGGGGCTGTTTCATATCATGTTGGTCTTGGGGAATGCCACATCTAGTCTTTGGAGGCTGCAAAGAACAAGGGCAGCTGTTTAGACTAGTTCAAATATATGAGAAGAAGTGATAAATTATGTCAGGGCTCATTGGTGAGATCCATCCCCTGAATAGGGCCACTCTGACAAAGCCAATAAAGGTAGTTGTCTCATATAATATGTGAAACTCACACCAGAGTGTCAAGGGAAAAGAAAAGAAAAAACAAAAACAAATGAATAGCTCTGAACAACACAGCAGATCAAATGAATTTCCAGAAACTGACTTGAATAAAATGGTGATTCCCAACAAAGATGTCAAAAGAACAGTGATAAAGAAACTCACTAGGTCTGAAGAGCAATTCCTGAAAATTTCAACAAAGAGATTATATATATATATATATATATATATATATATATATATATATATATATATGAAAACAGAAATCATACAGTTATAACTCAATAATGGTACAAAAGCAGAACAGATCACATCTATTTAATTGATTTGAGACTTAATACAGGGAGTCAAATTGTGTAATTGAAAAAGCTAAAGGATTATGAACACACAATGCCCAATAGTGAGTTCAAAATCAAACATGTAGTAAATTTGACATGGTTCAGGCAGTGTTCATCTGTGTTGCATCATGAAACTTCAATGCAGCCTTGGTCTGAAAACACAAGAACTGCCTTCATGCTACACAGAACAGACAAATGCTATCTGAAATACCTCTGCTGAGATCTGAAATTACTCAGTTTTTTTTTTTTATTTTATGGTATGAGTGCACATACAAAGCTTTTGCTTTTATAGAAATATAATGGCTTAGTAAGGAAAAAGAAAAACTTTTAGAAGTCTTTCTAATGACATCATTCCCTGGCATGTAGCAAGCATATCTTTGCAATTTATTTATTCTACTATGGTGTTTGACTTCAAGGTTCATGGGACTGACTTGAGTTTCATTAAGAAAGTTTTCAATGAATTTTAGCTTGAGTTTAAGACAAGATTACTGACATGACTTGAAATATACTCTTGGTATTTTGTATTATGTAGTTTAAAAACTAGCACTGTCATTATTAATAATTATAAGATCAAAATATTATCAATTCTGGCAAGTGATAAAGATGTTCTTGAACTGAGGTATCAAATATTCTACCAAGATATAATTATTTATTTAAAAACAAATAAGCGCATTCCTCTCATTAGTATAAAAAGTTGTTTATGTACTATAAGCCTAGCTAATAACCTAGATCTGTGGAGGTTGTAGGCCCAGGTGAAGAGCATTTTTCTGTTGGCTAATTGCTTTCTAAATGCCTGTGCTCGCATTGACACACAAAAGTGGCTCCTATCCATAATCTGAGAAGCCAGTTTCTTACAAAGTGTGGTGGTAAAGGCAGGCTCATGGCTTCCCAAGACACTCAGCCTAAACAAAAATGTGGTAATAACTGTTTTTCTTTTACGTATGAGCAGAAAGTATATAAGAACTAGAAAATTATTTAAAGGGTTATAGAATGTCATGCTCTGTACTGGATACAATTATTGCAATCATTAATACATAACAACTGTAGTAAGTTCCTGGCACAGGGTCCATAAGAAACTGGTCCTATTTACAATCTGTCAGAGAGGTGGGAGGGGCTCCCCCCCCCCCCCCACTCTTTACTTCTGGGCCAGAAGATATCCATACATTCTTGGGGAGGAGGAATCATTGCCTTTAGCTGTGTAACTATTGGGGAGCCTACGCTGCTCCAAGGGATAGTTTCAAACCCATGGTCATATGGGCAGCTCTGGTCAATTTCAGCGGATTGCAAAACAAAATTAGTAACCTGAGAGAAATCTGTCATGCTGGATATAAGATAGTAACAAATTCAAAAGACTAGTGAAAACTCAGGGGTTTTTAATGTACAATTCCACAGAAAGGATTGCCAGCACAGAGCAAACACAAAATTAGCTGATACACTGATTTGAGATGAGGTAATGGTTTTTCTTTCTTTTCCTTTCTCCTTTCTTTTGTTTTTATTTTCATTTTATTGTTTATTTATTTATTTATTTATTTATTTATTTATTTATTTATTTATTTATTTATTTTTGAGACAGGGTTTGTCTGTATAGTTTTGGTGCCTGTCCTGGGTCTGGATCTGTAGACCAGGTTGGCCTTGAACTCACAGAGTTCTGCCTAGTTCTGCCTCTTGAGTGCTGGGATGGGCATGTGGTGATATTGTGTCCCCCAATATATTGTGCACCCTAATAAACTTATCTGGGGTCAGAGAACAGAACAGCCGTTAGATAGACATAGAGGCCAGAAAATGGTGGCACACACACCTTCAATCCTAGCATTCCTGAGGCTGAGATCCATCTGGATCTCTGTGAGTTCAAAGCCACACTGGAAACAGCCAGGCATGGTGACACACACCTTTAATTCCAGGAAGTGATGGCAGGAAGCAGAAAAGTGTGTAAGGCGTGAGGACCAGGAACTAGAGCTGGTTAAGCTTTTAGGCTCCTAGCAAGAAGTTCAGCTGAGATCCATTTGGATGAGGACATAGAGGCTTCCAGTCTGAGGAAACAGGATCAGCTAAGAAGTTAGGAGGTGAGGTTACTTGTGGCTTGTTCTGTTTCTCTGATCTTTCAGCGTTCACCCCAATATCTGGCTCCCAGGTTTGTTTTTATTAATAAGACCTTTTAAGATTCATGTTACAGTGGGCCACCTTTGCCCCTGCAAATTTTTTTTTTAATTTTATTTTTATTTTATGTGCATTGGTGTTTTGCTACGGGTGTTGGGTACCCTGGAACTGGAATTACAAACAGTTGTGAGCTGCCATGTGGGTGCTGGGAATTGAACCTGGGTCCTCTGGAAGAGCATTCAGTGTTCTCAATGACTGAGCCATCTCTCTAGGCCCAGTAATGGTTTTTCTAAAGTCTCTTTGTCATGAGAAATCCCTGTTCTCTCTTTCCAGAGGCCTGGACTAGCCCCCTTTTACAAGTTCTCCATTCTACTGGCTTGTGATAGAGCCTTATCTCTTGAGTAAATTGGGGCTGGAGACTAACCTTCTCAGATCATGGGCTCAGTCATATACCAGACCACCTGTACCTTACCAGCTCTCAGAGCTCTGAGAGAAGTTTGCACCAACCTTGCAGAAAGGAGAGAGAGGTGGGCCAAGCATCTCCAGCTTATCAGCAACTCTGACTAACTTCAAGTGTAGCTCATGTGTACATATCATAATAATTCATTTCATACAGTGGAGAGGTTAGTCAGGGGTGGTAGGGAGATGAGGAAAAAGGGTGACCCCCAATCACGCCATACATACTCAAAATTGTAAATAGTCATAATAATAAACAAAATTTTTTAAACAAAAGTATTGTCCCCACAGTGGCAGGCAAGTCAGTTGAAAGCTTACTATAAGAAACAGGGGCTGGAGAGGTTGCTCAGCAATAAAGAGTCTGTACTGCACAGGGCCCAAGTTTGGAGGTACAGCTACCTATGTCAGGAGGAACGCAATGCTTTTGATTCCCTGTCCAGGATATGCATTAATTCTGGTCTCTGCAGGAACAAGCACTAATCTTCCTCCATAAATATATACATATAGTTAAACACACGCACACACACACACACACACACACACACACACACACACACACACATACTCATACACACACATATACACACACACACACACACACACACACAAACACCGAGTGAGAGAGTGAGTCTTTAATTCACTTGAAATACAGTAACATTTGCTAGCATTGATTATATAACAGCCCCGTTTATAGATCTGTTCTTCCACATATAGACAATTGTTAAGGATAAGTTTTTTGGCACCCCTATAAGCCTCTCTACCAATGCAGCAATCCAAATCAGACAGAATTAGGAAAAGCCCCAGTTTAATGGGTAAAGCATTGCCAGATGATTCTCCAGGCCCCAGAGAGGAGATGGGGAAGGGAGACCGCAAAACCACATATCTGTTTTCTGGGATGCAGTTTAAATACCCTCTGGGAGTTGTCTTGAGCATCTCTGGGGAAGGAGCCGTGTTTGGCGGGCTTTGAAGGGGCTGGAATGGGGA